TAATTCTGCCACGCGAAGGGGTATGGGCAATCTTGGGCCCTTGGATCAAGGATGGACGGCTCAGATTAGGAGAAAGGGGGAGAGGGGAAAGCCGGTGGCCAGAACAGTGCTCCCGCAGGGCGGGGACCATGGCCTACGGCGAGGAGGTCGTCGGCGAGCGGGAAACAAGGCCTTCGGGCCACGGTTCGATGAACCGAGGGCGCCGGGAGAGAGAGAGAGAGAGAGAGAGAGGAGGTGAAGGCGATCTCGCCTAGGCCAAGAACGCGGCCGGAGGACACGGCCGACGCGGTGGTGGCCATGGCCGGCGGCAAGAACTCGCCGGCGCACTCGAAAATGGCCATACTAGCCACCATTTGCCATGAGAAAAGGTTAGGGAGAGAGAGGAGAGCACGACGAAACTCACCATGGTGAAAATCGAAGGCAGAGACGAAGGGAGGATGGCAGACCACGGCGCTGCGGTTGTGACTTCCATGTGCTCGGGCGAATGCGAGAGTGGAGAGGGGGAGGCAGCAGGGAGAGCGATGATGGGCTCGTCTTCTTTTATAGAGGCCAGGGCACGGGGAGGGCGCTCCCACGACGTGACGTGGGTGAGCATCGGCGGTTGCTCGCCCAAGTTGGGCCAGCCCAGGAAGAGAAAGGGGAAGGAAGGGAAGGTTGGCGGCGGGCCGGTGGGGGAATGGGCGATGGGCGAATGAGAGAAAGAGAGGGAGGGACAAAGAATTGGCTTTTCTTTTTCCAAAACAATTTTCCAACTTCATTTTCAAATAGTTTTTTTGGAATCATTTTAAGTTTTGGATCAAAATCACTCAACCCAATAAATAAAATGCTACAGCATGAGTGCATAAACATGTATCTATCCTTAAGATTGATTTTAATTGCACAAAAATTATTATTTTTCCTATATTTGAATGCACACATAATTACATAAATAAATCAAATTTAACTATTTTAAAAGGATGCAAATTATAGGGTGTTACATGTATATATATACTTTGACCATGCAATAAGAATATCATAGGAATCTACCTCACCCATTGTTCTCCTGAGTTAACTAGCTTAGAGTATCATAATGATCTATCCCTTGAGTGTTTTTATGCTTAATTCCTATCATTACCTATACCCCTTGCTCTAGCTATGATGGTATGTTGACTGATAGATACTCCTTTGATATTCAATAATATTTACTCTATTGTTTCCATGTGGTAAAATATAAATAACAATACCTGGAATACTCCCGGTAAAATGCTAAAATAGTATTCTGTGCGCTTGCGGAATCCTTCATATTCTATTTGTACTTATAAATACCAACAAAAAGCTAGGAAGAAGGAAGAAAAACCTAAGGCAACCAACACATCATCAAGTGAGATATCATGTAGTTCTGAAGACGAAGATGATGATGAGTCCTACCAAGTGATCAAGGGGGCCAAGAAGGAGAACAAAGGAAAGGGCAAAACCAACTCCAACAACAAATATGCCACCGTATCCTTTAATTATTCTTCTATGCCTTTGACTGACCATGATCAGAGATCTTTCATCAATTTGCCCGTAGGCAAGTTACTTCATTTCGATGGGACTAACTTTGCCAAGTGGAAGCACTTAATGAGAGCCTATCTTATAGTTCTTCACCCTGACATTTGGGAGGTTGTTTACAATGGATTTGAGCCACCAGTTGATCCCAAGAATCCAACTCAAACCAAAAAGCAAATCATCCATCTCAATGGGCAAGCCACAAGTGTGCTACTTAGTTCATTGGATGGTCATGAGTACAATAGAGTGATGGGTGTTGATGTTGCCAAGCAAATATGGGACACTTTGCACCTTGCACATGAAGTGAGGAAGGCAAGAGTTGAGTTGTTGATGACCAAGCTCAACCGATTTCTTATATTGGATAGAGAAGGGCCACAAGAGATGTTTGATAGGTTGATGGTGATTGTCGAAAAGATTAAAGGCTATTGTGGTGATGAGCTAGATGATCACAAGATAGTCAATATTATGTTGGAAGCTTATTCACCTAGAAATGAGACCATGGTAACTCTAATTAGAGACAAGAAGTTTGAGTACTTCACACCAAATGATGTACTTGAAAGGATCTTGACCTTTGACATGCAAAGAGAAGAAGCAAATGAGAGAAAGAAGCTTGGTGAGTAGAAAGCAAAGTTAGATGGCATGAAGATCAAGGATGCAGCTCTCAAGGCCAACAAATCAAGCAAGCAAGGCTCTACTAGCAAGTCTAAGGTCAACAAGCAAGCTTCAACAATGTTGGCATTTCTTAGCACGATCATCAAGTGAGGAGGTTTTAAGTCCATCACCAGCAATGGCGCTAGAAATTCCTGTTGGTATTTCTTAACACCATTACTAAGATTGAGTTAATCTTAGCAATGCCACCAAGAAACACCAACTACGATAGCACTTAATGATTATAGAGAATATCCACAAGTGCACGGATCTATCATTGTAGCATTTCACTCGAAAGTATTCAAGGTATCGTTATTTATATTTTCCCAAAGGAGGGCAAGGTATAAGAGTCTAGCATAGATATAAACATGATTACATACTTGCATAGTGGACCATAGTACATGACAAGGGTAAAAATGATATTTCATGGATAGTAGACACACATCTGAGCGAACCTCAAGGATAAAAGTAAAACAAAGAATAAAAGAATGTTCCTAAGCGGAGCCGAAATGTTCTAATATAGCCATGCAAAGAACAGTTAATGGTCATACAAGTTACATGACTAGAGTCAGAACTAAGTGTGAGATGGACGGGGAGATCTCCAGGCACTAGTCTGCCAGCAACCCATGGAGACTTTAAAACTCCAACACAATACCCAGATGTGGGGGATTACGAGGGACGGATAGGGCTGTCAACACCTGCCGCTTACCCCTCAATCGTGGGATACCGTCATATTCGAAGGTTCCCGTGTACCCGAGCACCGCGCCCGTGTGCAAAGAAACTACCCATATCCCCTCGGGACTTTGACCCTATGGGTCAACAAGCAAGAATATGGGCAAATCTGAAGGAACGATGAACCATCACCTCAACCCTAAATCTACTTCTACTCATATAAATCATATGAATGATTAATCTTAAAGATGAACTTGTTAAGATCATGACACACAAACTATATGCTAGTTCATAAATCATGATTATAACAAGACAACTATACTCGAGTTCTATAGCACAACTATACAAATGATATGATAGCATGACTATGGGAGAAATTTTCTTTGTATTCATACCAAGTTTTTCTCTCTTTTCTTCCAAGGAGACAAGCTCTCCTAGGTAGCTCTTGCTAGGTCCAAAGACTACTACTAAAAACTAAAAGAGTACAAGATGTGGTGTGAGGTGCTTGGCACCAAATGAGGTGTGTGTTGAAGAATGAGCTCCTCCTCTTCTTATATAGTGAAGTCTGGTCGGTTTGGTGCAGGTAAATTAGGAAACATCCATGAACCGACCAAGCATGCCACCATGCAATCGCCTATGAAGGCTGGGCCTGGGACGAGCCACCTAGGGTGCGGGCGCACCTAGGGTGCGGCTGTACCCTGACTGGCTCACCTGGCCACTGCCTTTACTAGGTAGGCTAGTGGCCAGGCCTAGGCCCATCCTACATCAGTGTTCTGCCTAGGTAAGTTGTGTAGGTGGGCTTCTTTATGTATTTCCTATGCGCATTTCTGCTTTACGCTATTTTTGTTCCTTTTGCTTGGTTTTATTTATTTTTCACTTGTACTTGAATGTGTGTCCTGCAAAACATGTTTCCTCCAATACAAGTGGAACTATGCCAATAGTAAAGGCATATGTGTCAAAAGATTGTTTATTTCTCCTATTTTGGATAATAATTGGCGGTCGAATGTTGTCGTTAGTGACCACCAACAAATTCCCCAAGATTAACCTTTGCTCGTCCCAAGTAAATAGCTAAGTACTTTGGTTGTTGATCAGGAGTTGCTACTATGCCGATACAATTCACAAGTGCCATGTCTATAACAAAATATTCTTCCACAATTCAAAAAAGTTAGCATTTTTATCCACCCTTTATCTTAATCCCTGTGGGGCGTATAGCTTTTCCAAGTTCTTGGGCGGTTGCAAGATAGAACGGTTGTAACAGAATTACCAATCATTCATTCCTCGATTAACCATCTATCTAGAGGTTTTATGAATTTTTGCAAAGAAATGTAAGTTCCTCAAATGATTCTCATGATCACTCAAATGTGTATGAAACCTCACCAAGGCATTTGGTATTTTTTCCTTTTTTCATATCCTACCACTAAGGCTTTTGAGTGGAGTTTTGGGTAGGTATCAAAGTGGGGCATACTTGCATCATATATTTTGCTAAGTCAAAGACCGGACCTCAAGGAGATGCAAGTCATACACTTTGATCAAGACATGCAAGTGTGTGGAATATTTATAACTTTCTAATTCTAAATATTTTTGGTACTCCTTTGAATCATGAATCTCTACTTTTTGATGAATGCCGTTTTATTTAAAAGTATGGACTATCTTTATTTTTTTCTTTCTTTTTTTCAAGATTATGTTTAATCTTTGGCATGCATTTTTTTCTCTCATGCCTTTTGGCATGGATATTTTTTTTCTTTTTCTTTTCTTTTTTTCTCTTTTTTAGCATATCCCATACTATTCTTTTTGGCATATGAAATTTTTGAGAGAGAGACATGATAAAGTGAATGGAGTATTTATTTGGATTAATTGGATCTGTGCCATTATAACTTTGTCGTTTCTGAAGAACGTCATTACTATTCGTCTATTTTGAAGCATGCCACTACAATTCTTCGTTTCCCACAAATATGCCACTGAATACGTATGGACACAGCCTGGGCCCAGCTGCAGGCATATATGAAGACGTATACTTCATCTCCCCTGTCACTGACATGTGGCCCCACATGTCATCTTCTTCCTCCTCTTCTCCGAATCTCTCTCTCTCTCAGGTTCTCTCTCTCCATCCCGAGAGCCAGGCTGCCGCAGGTCGCTGCCTCCGTGGGTCGCCCATGGCGATGGCCACCACCGCTGCCATGGGTCGCTGCCTCCTCCTCTCCCGCTCGTCCCCTTTCAGGGTCCGCCTCCTCCACGCCGCCCTCTCCACCGCCGCCCCCACCCTCAGCCCCACCTCCACTCCCACTCCCCCTCCGTGGAACGAGCTCCTCCTCAAGCGCCTCCGCATCTGCCACCTCAAGGACGCCTTGTCCCATGGCATCCCAAGGCCCGCCTCGAGGGCCACGGAGCAAAGCTTGCAGCAGGGGAAGGGGAAGAGGGTTGAGGCCGCCGAGAGCTTCGAGGAGCTTGGCCTCGGGGAGGAGGTGATGGCCGCGCTCGGGGAGATGGGCATCTCCAAGCCACGAGCAGTAGTAGTAGCACAAGCCCTCCTTGTTCCAGCGCCTCCACCAAGCACCGTTGCCGCCATTGCCAGGGTCGACCCGAGCTCGTCGATCTCCTCGCACAAGCCATCTTGCGCCCTTCCGCTGCTTCCATCGGCTTCACAAGCGCATGAGGAGGCCATCTTGCTACATCTCGTGGCTAACCTGAGCTAGAAACCTCATCTCCCACGGACGCCGGTGGACCTTGGGCCATCCTCACCGATGTCGGCCTCACCTGATCCGCTCTCACCGGTGGGGGCACCCTCAGTGTGTTTGCAGGGCCACCCTCAGCCTCCTCCACCATCTGCTAGCCCTCCACGGTCACTAGAGCGCCATGCCAGCATCTCACGACAGCCATGGACGAAAGGTGGGAGCAGGAGGAAGGTGATGTGGAGAGGGGGAAGAAGAAGATGACATGTGGGGCCCACGTGTCAGTGACAGGAGAGATGAAGTATACATCTAAGTATATGCCTACAGCTGGGCCTAGGATGTGTCCATACGTATTCCGTGGCATATTTGTGGGAAACGAAGAATTGTAATGGCATGCTTCAAAATAGACAAATAGTAATGGCGTTCTTCAGAAACAACAAAGTTATAATGGCATAGATCCAATTAACCCTATTTATTTGATGGATGGAAAAATCATGTTTTTGTGTAACTCTTAGTGTAAGAGTCAGTAGTTTTATTTGTGGGTGTACGTGTGTCTTGATCATGGGTGCATGACAAGAATCTCAACAAGGGTCACATTAATTTGACAAAGCTCAATGCTCAAACAAGTAGCATATGACTAAGGTTTTGAATGTTTATCATGCCATATGGCCTTGGTAGGTAATCATCATCATTGAGGAACTTTGAATTTTAGCATTTTTGAAAGTAAAATCTCTGGATGTCAAGTTTCCCTTAGAACAAAGTCATAGTAAATTCTATTTGTACCATATCATAACTTGCAACAACTTAGAAAAGGAGCATGCATTTGCAAACCCATAAGTCTTTAAGTTTTTAGGATGAGACATTTTTAGCCAATAAACTTAAATCTTGGGGAATACTAAGTTATAACCTAGGCATGGATTAATTATTGATAGAGCAACTATTCATCATTTTAACTTTGGAGATACTAAACATTCCTTAGAACACACATAAGAGAGGAATTCATATTTTTGGTATTTTTATCATATTTCATTTTTTTAGAATTTTTGTTTTTTTAGATTTTTTATATGTTAATAAATAAAGAAATGCAGAAAATAAATGCAAAAATTTAAAAGATACAAGGTACCTCTGTGGGGGTCCTCCCCCAAGCTTGCTCTAAGCCTATGGTCTAGGATTGCTTGGTGTTGCCTCCGAGGTACATTATTTATATATTTTTATATAGCTTTTACTAATAGTTTTGTTTCTTTGTTCATCTCTCTCCAAATCTAAATTTAGTAGTTTTTGAACAGTGAACAAACTAAATATTATGTTTAATCTAACCAAGGTAGACTAATCAACCTAAGCACCATTCTTAATTAAAAAAGCCTATGAAAGCATGATCATGGAAAAGAGCATACCTCAAACCAAAACGTACTTGTATGAAACATGAAGGGATAAAAAAAACTTATTCAGGTGGACATATATGGAAATGTGAACTAATTATTTTTATTTTTTTAGCATGTTTATTTCATAGAAAATTATAATTATAACAGATAACTACAGATTTACCTTCAGCAAGGACTCATTGTTTAAAGTCCAATGAGCTGGACTCTTCTCCTTTCAGGGCTTACTTGATGATGGTGCGCCCATGCCTGGAGAATTAGGCATGGATGCTAAACCTTTTATCTGCCAAGCCTGTTTGATTCCTTTATGTGGTTGTTTCTTGGGCTATTTGCTTTTAAGGTGTTTATGCATGTTAAATCCATTAAATAGGCATCTTATTGTTTGCCCTTGAATATGGAAGCAAACATGCCTAGATCCCATGTGTAGTACTCCATTTGTGGTGTTAAGGAATAGTCTCCCTAGGAGGAGGGGGACTTCTTCATTGTGGCCCATGTCTAGAACGACAAAGTCCATGGGGATGTATTTGTCTCGAATTCTTACCAAGATATCCTTGGCTAATCCCTCCGGGTGTCGTGAAGTTTGATCCGCCATCTGTAGTCTTAAATTTACTGTGGACAAAGGTCCACCCAAAATCTTATCATATATTACCTTGGACATAACGTTGATGCTTGCTCTAAGGTCGCAGAAGGCATTGTGGAAGACATGTGGGCCTATTGAGCAGGTGATTGTTGGGCGGCCAGGATCTTCTTTCTTGGTGACGAAAGGTGGATCTACGAAATAATCATGGCTTTCCTAACATAGAGGCTTACCAAACTTCGTTGAGACCATTTTAACAGATTCGAGAGAAGTTTTAGGTTTCTGCAGAATCTTTCCCGATTCAGAAATAGGTAGCGTGGCAGCAATTTGACCTATTTCAGTTTTGATCATTTTATTAAAGCTCAATTAGTTTTGTCTAGATGAAGATAGGGTTTCAAGTTTTGTATTTATGTTTTGGCAAAATTGGCTATAGGACACTCAAAGTGACCCCTCTTTGCTAGTAGACATGCAAAATGGAGTAGTTTGCTGGTGGACACTATCGTTGTTATCAAATTTGCTCCTAGACATTGCGGCCAATAAAATATTCATTTCTTACTTCTGAGGAGGGAGAATAGAGGGGAAATGTCCTTTTTGCCCCTGGCTCCTTCTTCCTCTCTCCCATTCTTTTTTTTCCTCAGCTCGCCTACCTGCGCCATGGACATGATGGCCGCTGCAGACTCCGAGAGCAGAGCACAGGGCACATCCGGTGGCCAAATCCGGCCGACGCGGACTCTGTCGACGGCGAGGTGGGGCTTCGTGAGCCTGTCCATATGGCGACAGGTGAGGCCGGCGCGGGCGGCGCGCACGTGCAGCAGCAGCCGGTGCAACGACATCGGCACATGGACGAGGTGGATGCACACGTCTAGCTGGAGGTATGGTGACACGTGGCTGTCCACGAGGAGCACACGCGCGCCCCGGGCCTCCATGCGTGCCCCAAACGTGTGGTCACCCACCCGCGGCACGCCTTGGGTTTGGAGCGCCACATCTGTGCCAAGCCCATGGCACACGCCATCCCTGCACGGAAGCTAATGCCAGCCACGGGCACGAGACAACGGTGGCCGGAAGCCATCATCGGCCGCGATCATAGAGCTGTGTGGGGCCGCTAGCTCGGGCAAGCCGTGACTAGAGGCTACACGAGCCATGGCACACGGCTTGGCCAGCGTTTGCCGCGTTGTGCAGCACGCGCATGCACATGAGCACATGCACGAATGCCTGGCCAAGACCCACGCATATTGACAGGGCCACTACCCTAGCCACAACGATAGCTGCGTCCACCATGGCTGGTTCTGACGAGGCCACAGGGCCACCCGCACTTGCCCAGGCCACGACCTCCATCCGTCTGCCTAGGCCACGATGCCGTCTGTGACCTCCATTCGCCTAGCTCGTGCTCCATCCACCGGTGACTAGCCCGTGCATCGTCGTCCCATGCCTACCTAGGCTACAAGCCCGGCACCGACACCGACCGCGCCCACCATGGCTGGCTCCAGCGAGGCTGCAAGGCCAGCCACACCCACCCAGGCCGCGACGCCGACCGCCCCCACGCCTGACCCACGGTTCTTCCGTCCATACCCGCCTAGGCCACGAGGCCATGAAAGCTGCACCGCTGCTCGGGGACGCGGGGAGCCGCCTCCTGGCTACCATCGCCCCTCTCGCCCTCCATTTCTCCCTTGCAAGAACGGCGTTGGGCGTCGTCATGCAGGCGATGGCGCATGACTGTACTAGCCACGGGGAAAGCCCCGATTTAAACCCAACGAACATGATTGGAGGGTCAGAGGGGGTCATGGAGTGGTGGGGGTGCTTACTACATGCAAAAAAAGGCTAGGGAAGCAGCGGAGGCTGCTGCCCATGATGCTCAAAATAGGAAGGGAGGAAGGAAGAAGAAAGGAGAGGGAAGGGAGAGAGGAAGAAGGAGCTAGAGGCAAAAAGGACATTTCCGCTCTGTTATCTCTCCTCAAAAGCAAGAAATAAATATTTTATTGGCTGCGCTTTTTAGGAGCAAATTTGACAACAATGACAGTATCCATGAGTAAACTGCTCCATTTTGCATGGCCGCTAGCAAAGAGGGGCACTTTGAATGTTCTGTAGCCAATTTTGCCTTATGTTTTCTATCATTTTATCATTATACATTAACTTTTTAGTAAGATTTTCATAAATTTTTGCTTGGCCTAGGACTAAGTCTTTCAAGGAAGGTTGATTCGAATTGTAGTTTGAATTGAAGTTCGAATTACCTCCTTGCCTGGGGGACTGATTGTTCCACCCGTTATTGTCACTACACCACAACACCGCATCACCGTTAGACATCTGCCGCTAAAAATTATATTTATCGATGGATGAGCAGTCGCTAAAGATAACTCACAGACCATCTGACGCTAAATCCCCATTTATTGATTGATTGTATGTCGCTATATATATTCATATTTATCGTTAATCTATTTGTCGCTCAAAAGAGATACACGGTCGATCGGTCTGTCGCTAAAAAGATGGACCCCACACCCAGCTCACACTATATCATTTTTTTACATACCGTAATAATGTCAAATGAAAAAGTCATAAACTATAAAGTTGTAGATCTATTTTTCTACACAATTTATATATATACTTTTTCTTCATTCAAGTTTATACGTAAAAGTTATGGTTTTTTAAGGATGAGCTGGTAGATAAGGAAAACAATTGAAAGAAAAAACAATGAAACTAAACATACTTCAAATGAGATGATTCTTTTTTCTAAAAGTCTGTAAAATCATGCTCTATCAATTCATGGTGTTCTTACTATTTGTATTATTGATTAATGGTCATTTTATAGTTTAAAAGAATTTATATAAATTAAAGAAAAACATTTTATTTTTTGCTGGGCTGCCCAATCTCCCGTTGGCCTAGACGGCGTGCTAGGCCACTAGACGTCCCGTGGCCGTCTGATTGGATCGGATGATCCACGTCATCCCTTAGCTAGTGAAAACCAGTACAGTCGGTCTCCTCCAAACACTAAATTCTATTTTCTCATCCCCTCCCGTTTCCCTCAAAAGCAGCGGGCAGAGCGACCTGGTGGCGGTGCGGCCCTCCCCACGGGC